TTTTTAATTGCCATAGATCTAAAGTGATAGATCTAGGGCACTATAAAAATTTTTAACAAATAAAATTTTTTTTTATTAAATGTCAAATATTATAAGTTCGATGATTTTTTTGTGGATTCAAATATGATGATATAAAGATAAAAAACATTTAAACTAAAAGCACTTTGTTAAGTCATTCATCAAAAGCACTTTGTTAAGTCATTCTTTAAAAGCACTTTGTTAAATCTTTTCCTTATTTAAGTCATTCTGTCATTAGCAAATTAGTTGTGTTAAATGCATCATAGAAATTCTGATCTCACAATTAGGAAACAATTAGAAAACACATATATTAATATTGAGCTAGACAAACAAATGTGTCAGAAGCTAAACATCTTGTTTCTACAAGAATTTTATCGGGTAAGTATAACTCCAACGCTGCACAAAATTAAATATAGAAGATTGCTTCAAAAGACTTTGGCTGGGGTCTGACCCATTAGTTGCAGAAGAGCAGAGCAAAAGGCAGTTATTTTGCAAAAAACTATTTAGATAGAGGGCATTCTAAACGCTTATCTATGCGCAGAAGTGCATCAACTGATAATATTTTAAACAATCTTTTTGTTTGGAAATTACTTTTGTAACACATGTATTGTTGTTAATTTTTCAAAACCAAATTCTTAAACTTTAGATGGCAAATTTAAAACTTGTTTTTTTCAAAAACTGCTAATAGGGCCAACTTAAGTTCTACAGCAAATAAAAATTTTGTAGTTTGGAAATGATATAATGTTAAGTATAGTATCATTAGCAGTTTTTGAGGTAACCACTGTAAGGTTTAAAAACTAAAGCAAAATCATGTCCAAAAATTCACAGTTTTTTTTTTTATCACTTTTATAAAAATTATCTGATTTTCTTCCTGAAATACTATTATTATTAGCCAGAAAAATATATTTTTATGTAGACTCTTTATTCTTATTGTTAAATAATAATTTTCCAAGTTTTAGATCAACAATCTTTTTTTTTTCCTCAATTTTTTTTTAAGTATACATTTAGTGAATTTTTTTTTTTTGTAAAAAAAAAAAATTCACTAAATGTATACTTGAAAAAAATTGTAATTCAAAACATTAATAATTTCATTAATTTATTTTGTAAATTCAAAACCAGTGAATAACAATTGACTATCTTTAAAAATCTGTGAAATTAAGTAAATAAGCATTGTAGAAATACAAAAGAATTTCTCATCATAATTAATAGAACCATTTCAGATAACTTGAACAACAACAAAGTTGTACAGAGACTTTAATATTCTAAATATATAAAATCTCAAAAAAAAAAGAAAACAAAGCTTTCTGGAATATCTATTCCAGAAAGCTTTGTTTTCTTTTTTTTTCGCATTTTTGTTTTCTTTTGTTTTCTTTTTTTTTCGCATCTGCAAAGGAGAGACGGATAGATGTTCTCCTTGACAAAATAATTTCTGACAATATGATGTGAAAAGAGTTGGAAACAAAGTAAAGTAAAGCAATTAGAGGATAAAAAAACAGAAGAAATACAAATAGCAAACATCATCAAAACAAAAACAAAAAAAAGATGTCCCCATATGACAAAAACAACAATCTGGGACTAACAGGCTAAAGCTTTTGACAGAAAAAAATGAATTTATGAAAACACAATACTTATAATTAAAAAAAAAACACGCTCCCAATACGATAAAAATAATTATCTGGAACATGCTAAAGTTTTTGACAAAAAAATTAACAGACAATCCTTAAAGGGACTACCAAGTCCCGAGATATGTTGTGTTCATATTAAAGAGAATGTTAAAAAAAAAAGTTTGAGCAAATTTTTTTTGATTAAAACTAATTAATAAATGTATACCAAGGAAAACAAATCTTGTTGTTTTAGTCGAAGCTCGTCTTCTCTGTTTTCTCTGGTATTTTGAGTATGTAAAATAAACGCGATTTTCCAGGCGCATTATACAGACTTGATAATTTATTCAAGCGCGTTTAATTCATAGGAGTTTTAGTGCATGACGCCATAGATTTTTTTTGTTTGTTTGTAACGAATTGTTATTTTTTACATACAAATTCCAAATCATATTCTTTTTTATTATATTTTAAAGTTCTAAAATGTGTTTGTAAATCAAAATTAAAAACAAAATAAAATTAAAAACAAAAATAAAATAAAAAACAAAATAGTATTTTATTTGCGCAACTTTTTTTAAATAATCGTCTAGACCACATGTATTTTGATTTCTTTTGTTATAAGTGTTTTTGATTCAAAATATTAGATAAAATAATTTTTAACCTAAATAATAATGCACTTTTATTAATTTATTTTGTAAACATTAAAAAAAAAATTATTCACGCATTTTCTCTCTGATTTTCAAAAATGTATTTTTTAGTATTGAGGTGATCTTATTTCATTATTTATATTTCCATTATAACATCCAATATATATTATGGCGGGGGCTTAAAAATTAAAAAATTAATATATATTTATTTTTATTTTAAAGACATACATGGAAACATAATTAACTTGAATGTTCTTAAAACATCTTGCGGAAGAATAAAGAGAATATTCGCGAACACTAAAAACCCGTCAAATTTGCAAAGAAACTAATTCTATTGGTTCAAAAAACACGCTGACTAAGCGAAATAAAGTTATAGAGTTGGAATTGTATTATTTTCGATTTGTTGCATTTTGAGATATCTAGCATAAATTTTTTTAAGAATATATTATCAAATAAACTCTTACTTTAATATATGACTCATTCTCGGAACCACATCTATAAAGCCGTAAATCTTTTAAACTATTATCATTTGTTTACAAAAATAAATGTTTTATAATATATATTTATAAATATATTATATTGCCAAAATTTTGAAAGTTAATTACAAATCATATATTTTATTAGTATATTCTTAATTTTTATATCTTTTCTTAGTGCTTGTTTTAATTAATTGTTCGTTAAATTTGTAAAAAACTAACGAACAATTAATAAAATAAACTTTTAATAAAATAAGTAACTATAGTTAGCTCTTTGAGTAAAATTCAATAGTAAAATTTTTAAAGAATTTCTAGAATGTTTCCAATGACGTCATGCTCTAAAACTCCTATGAATTAAACACGCTTGAATAAATTATCAAGTCTGTATAATGCGCCTGGAAAATCGCGTTTATTTTACATACTTAAAATACCAGAGAAAACGGAGAAGACGAGCTTCGACTAAAACAACTAGATTTGTTTTTCTTGGTATACATTTATTAATTAGTTTTAATCAAAAAAAATTTGCTCAGACGTTTTTTTTTAACATTTTCTTAAAATGAACACAACATGTCTCGGGACTTGGTAATCCCTTTAAGATTTAAAATTGAACAAATAGAAATTAAAAACGAAGAAGCTGAAAATTTTTTCAAAAAAAAGCTTAAAATGATATGAATGATGCAAAATAAGCAGCTAAAATTGCAACAACAACAAATGAATCAAGTACAACAGCAACAACTACAGCAATAGACTCTTTTGTTTGCTGTGTTATTTAAAAAACTAAGTAAATAGACAGACAATTTAAATATTATGATTTTAATATAAGTATTATGATAATACTTTTAATGTCAGTTGTAATATCTACATGTAAATTAAGAACAATTGTTTTAGTGTATGGTCAATAAAAGTTTGGTACTAGTGAATTCTACAGCTTAATTCTCTCAAAGTTAAATTTAATCATCTTTTCTTATGTGACATTTTTCATTGATTATTAAAAAAAGGTCAATAAATAATTTACAAGTATTCTTCTAAAATTGTTGGGTTCACAAACAAAAAGTTGAGTGATGTTTCCATATAAATAGGTTTTTGCATTTGTCATTAATACACATAAAAAAAAAATCTTTCCAGTGGCACTAAAATTAATTTTATCTAACTTGACTCATTGATTTATTAAATGCATCTTGCTGGTTTTTTTTACTACCTCTAAATAGACATTTTTAGTTAATCCGTAAAGGATTGTTTGCACTCTCACCATGCAAATAAAGTTTATTTCCATTTGTGTATACAATACAACTGTTTAGTTTAGGTAACACACTTTGACATTATAAATTAGTACACTGAATTCATGCCTTTAACTGGCCCATACATACTAGCAAAACATCCCATTGGACAAAACAACAGTTTAAAATTTAAGAATATGTATCTTTAAGTAACCATTGAACACTATTCAATGGTTAAAAAAAGGTCTACAAACATGATGGACTGTCTCATCAATAAATCTCTGAATAAAATCCAAATATCTGCCAAGGTAACATAACATTTTTAATAAAATGCAGAGCGCTTCAATTCCTCTCACAGATAAACAGTATATGAATTTAAAATATCAGCAATTTCTTTCTTTCAATTTAAAATCTTTAAAAATTGAAACTCATGTTTCAGCATCAAGAAGTTTATCAAATATTTTTGTCATTCTAATAAGAGTAATCATTTTGAGATTTATTAATATCATATAATAACTCAAATTCTACATCATTAATAATATTTATTGTATGCTTAAAAAAGAGTGTCTTTTGTAATTCCCAATCCTGCCATCTTTAAAAGTAAAATCTGATGTAAATTTTTTTGTAAGACAAATAAAGTCATTTACTTATAAGACAAATAAAGTCATTCACTTATAAGACAAATAAAGTCATTCACTTATAAGACATATAAAGTCTTTTACTTATAAGACAAATAAAGTCATTTACTTGTAGGCATAAGTTTAACTAAAAAATAAGTCATGAATAATGGAGAAGTTTCAAAAGTTTATCATGCTTTTTAAATTTGCAATGGTAGCAAAATTGCTAGCATATACTAACACCCACTGGAGACTCGTATGAATAATTGCTAATATATGTTGTAATCTTTATCTATAAAACAAAGCTAAAAGCATTTTAGAAACGAAGTAGTTAAAATGCCTTTAAATATTTCTTATGTAAATATTTTTGGTGAAAACTTAAAACACCTAATGTAAATTCTACAAATTTGAAAGACAAAAGAATTACCTTTTGATATGCTTTACAAATAACATTAAATTGAAAACATTGAGGAGTATGACTTTCACAATAACTATCCCTATAAATCCAACAAAATTTTTCAATGTGTCAAAAAAAAGATAAAGCTTTTTATTAGTTTTTTTTTTTAAAAAAAAAATCAATATTTACCTCTTTAAAGATGTTTCCATAAAACCATCTGAAGTAGACTTGATTATTGTTGAAACTAATGGTCGTATTGAACCACTTGCCTTAAAAAATGACATTGTAACTTTATGAAAATTTCACAAAAAAGCAAAATAAGAACTTTGCAAATTCATACAATTATGAAAAAAGTAAGAAATTTTACAATTTCATAAAAATAAACAAAACTCAAGAAAAACTTTAAAATTTCATAAAAATCACAATAACTTTATAAAGTTTAGCTTCATTCACAAGTTGGATTAGAAAATCTTCATCAATAAATGGACGAACTGCATCGTGTATAATTACCTAAATTGTTACAATTTTTCATATGAATAAGGAGGAGGATGCATACTTAAATGCCTATACTATGAAATTATATATGCATATAATATATATAATATATATATATATATATTTTATATGTATATATATATATATATATATATATATATATATATATATATATATATATATATATATATATATATATATATATATATATATATATGTGTGTGTGTGTATATGTATATATATATACATATACACTTTAAAATAGAGAATAAGTTAAAATACTAGGAAATGTATAACTTAAGACTTAAAAAGTCATAAGTTATATAAAAAAGGAAAACATAAAGATGGCTAAGAGTTATAAGGTTTTTTTGATGTTCAAGGAAAAAAACTGGATTAATAAGAGTTTTTTTAGCATGAAGGGAAAAACTCTCTTTGTCTGAGAGTAAGAGGGTTGTTCTTCATCAATATAGGAATGCCAACAATATTGCAATATCTTTTTGCAGTAAATAAATAAATTTTGTAGCTAATAAAAATTGTGGATTTTAAGTCCAGAATTTAAATCCACAAGCCACTGCAAGCCTTAGGCTGTTACAAAAGAGAGATCAAATTTAAAATCGGCTGCTTGTTCTAAGCAATTAAAAAGTGAAGATTTTTAGTCAAGACAAGAGTATAAGCTATCAGCAAATAGAGCTACTTTAGATTTTATGTAGATCGTTATTGTAGATAAGAAACAATACAGGAGCAAAGATAGAACCTTGTGGTACCCTTAAAGTTACTTGAAATAAAGAAGAGGATAGGCCTCAAAGAATAACTTTACTGCTGCAGTTAGAAAGAAATAATTTAATAACCTCAAAACCTTTATATAAAGAAACTAATAACAAAGTGAAGACTAATTGTAGGATAGTTGGAGAGGTCAAAGTGTTTTCTAGAATTTTGAAAAATTGAAGAGAGTTCTGGAGAACACTTTTTTAGCTTAACATCTGACAGGACTTTTTTACATTGGCTTCTAGCAATAATAAAAGGACATTTGTTCTTAAGAGAGATGTTCTTGAAATTTAGATAAAAATGTGGAGTAGAATGAGGCTTGACTTTAATTTAATTAATGAAATTAAGGGGAAGTAATAAAAGCATCAAATTAACTTAATGAAATTAAGGGGAAGTAATAAAAGCATCAAATTTTTATTTTAGAAGGAATAAAAGCTTCCAAGATGCACTTTATGCATACATATTATGGATATAAACATATATGTTTTTTATTTATTAAGATGCTGGCATACAATATCCTTTCATTGTTATATAAACTTTATTATTTATATGATGTAGTATTTGCCGAATAAGATGATGATCAGATGGATGTGTGACTCTAGCAAGACAAGAAAAGGAGGCATAATCTTAGACAGATCTTAAACAAGGCTTGTTAGTAAAGATTAAAGTAATTTAGTTATGAGCATGCAGAGAGGTAGCTGCTTCAGTAGAAAACGGTAGTAGTAGAAGTAAGAAAACTTGAAGAGAGTGCCTTACATATTGTATAAATACCTTAAGTTAAGAAAAAAAAATGCTCTTGATTATTTATATTAGAAAAACAGTATAAAAGAGAAAAGCTAAAACCTGATGATGATGATGATGATGATGATCATCATCATCATCATTATCATCATCATCATCATCTTTATCATTATCATCATCATCATCACTATAATCATGATGATGATCATGAACATCATTATCAGGATTTAGCCTTCCTCTTTTATGCTGTTGATGATGATGATGATGATTATAATCATGATGATGATGATAATAAAGATGATTATGATGATCACATTGATCATAATGATGTTTATATATGAATATATTTACAAAATATAACATAAATTTTTAATTAAAAAAATATACTTAAAGTAGTAAGGATTGCATAAACATTTATAAAACCTTATAAATGCTTATGCAGTCTCGTCACAAACCCGGCCCCGGCTATAATTTAACCCCAGTCATTAACTTATATACATACATACATACATACATATATACATACATATATATATATATATATATATATATATATATATATATATATATATATATATATATATATATATATATATATATATATATATATATATATATATATTAGTAAGTGATCGGAATTATTTATTTATATATATATAATTATATATATATATCAAGCTTGGTCGGGAAGTGGGAGCTATCGCTCTCAAATACTGACCACGGAAATTATATTTAGTTGCAAAAAACTGGCCAGATTTTTTAGTCATTTTGAGAACATTTAAGTTTATGTACTAAACAAAAAATTTTTGTTTTACGGACATACATGGAAAACATAATAAACTTGAATGTTCTCAAAATATCTTTGTGCGAAAGAATAAAAAGAATATTCGCGAACACTAAAAACCGCCAAATTAACGAAGAAACTAATTCTATTGGTTCAAAAAATATGCTGACTTAGCGAAATAAAGTTCTAGAGTATTCTGTTGAAATGTTTTAGAAATTGTACTATTCACGATTTGTTACATTTTGAGATTTCTAGTTTTCTTGTTTTAAAAATATATATTATTTGTTTACAAAAATAAATATTTTAAATATATATTAAATTGTCAAAATTTTAAAATTTTATTATAAATTATAGATTTTATTAGTATATTCTTATTTTCTATTTAAAAAGTATGTATTCTTTATATAAATGTAATTTTGTGTATCTGTTTTTTATCGTAATGTACCTTTTAAAGCAATTTTTATGATTTAAACAAAGACTAACAAAAATAATTGCGTTTTCAATGAAGTTATAATTGTTATAGTTAATAAAACTAACTATGTAAATAACATATAAGAAGTTTCTGGTTACTTAACACAAACAACACATACAAAGTAACGCGTGGATGAACAAGCACTGCGCCTGAGGTCACGACAGAACACAAATATATATAGCAAATAATTAGATATAAAGAAAAGTTTCTATATATTGGTTTACTAATTCTAATTATTTTCACTTAAGTTACCATTCTTGAAACTCGTTATACTTTTTTCTGCTTTAAATACTAATTAAAATTAAAAAGCCCACTCACTAAACATCATCAGCAATATTTTAAAAACACATTATGACGCTTTCTTGTCATAAAGTATTTTTAACCTTTTTAGTTGATTTCTATCTTGTTAATTTAATTTCTATAGTAACTCAATGATTTAATTATTTTATTTGTTTATCTTACTAAGAAGAATTGCTTCAAATATGTTAAACTTTTCAAACTACACGAAACATAAAATAGGTATTGAAAAAATTAACTTTTTTATTTATAAAATAATTTAGCTTAAATAAAACTAAAACTTGCAAACTTTGTTAAATAAAGAGCATTTGTTTCCTTTTTAAACAATCGTAAGTTGTTACTTTAAAAAATATCGCCTAATTTTATAAAAAAAATTATAAAAGAGCAATGTTTCGAAAATATTTGTTCTAAAAGTAATTTATTTAGCTTTAAGTTTTTTCGTGTTTAAAGATATTTTATTTGCCTAATTTTTTATTTTTTTTTGTAATTGTCTCTCATCGGTTCAATTAATCTTTTGCGCTTTTTTTTTTTTGCTTTTTAAAATGTTTTCAAAACGACTAAAAAATCTGGCCAGCTTTTTGCAACTAAATATTATTTACGTGGTCAGCAATCGAAAGCAATCGCTCCCGCTTCCCGACCAAGCCTTATATATATATATATATATATATATATATATATATATATATATATATATATATATATATATATATATATATATATATATATATATATATATATATATATATATATATATATATGTATGTATATATATATATATATATATATATATATATATATATATATATATATATATATATATATATATATATGTATATATATATATATATATATATATATATATATATATATATATATATATATATATATATATATATGTATGCACACAGACACATTTACTTTTCATGGATTTAGGTTTACACGATCATAATTTCTAAACACTTAAAAATTAAACACTTTAAAATATTGACTTTAATTCACACATTATATTTAGAAAATTGAAAAAAAAAATTTTTTCGCTATAACTACTAATCTATATCTAATAATAGTGTATTTACTCATTGATATCTAATATTTAATATTTAATAAAGTTATTTTCTTGGCAAAACAACTTTCATAATAGACAACTAACTGTTACATAAAAAAAAATTCTCTCCTTTATAACAACATTAACACATGACTTAAGATATTTAATAGTGAAAGTTTTGATGTAATAATAGATATGTGCCATGATATTGATATGATAGTACCACAATTTTTATACTTCTAGAGTTCCTAATACTCATCATGCAATAATGACAGCTTGTTAGTAATAAAAAATTCTAATGACAGAGGATAAAACAAATCAAACTTAAAACAAAAGATAAATAGATTTCAAATAGATATATAAAAAAATTTAATCAGTTGATATTTGTTTTAATTTAATCAAAAACAGCTTCAGATAAATTTCGTACAAAAACAGATATTCAACTTTTAAAAACAGCAAATACAAAAACTTTCTAGAAATATTACAATAACAATAACAACATCAAAGTTTATCACGCTGAAAAAGTTTTTAAAATTATTTGAATTAAAATTATTGAATCATTCCTTTCGAACTGCAGAATTCAAGTTGAATTAAAGATGTTCCAATGTTAATAATGATTAAATGATTTTATAATTTAATGATTTAATAATGATTAAATGAATTGTGATTAAATTATGATGAATAAATGAATTAATGTGATTAAATTATGCGGTAGTGGTGTAGTGGTAGAGCGCTCGCTTCATAAACGAGTGGTTCTGAGTTCGATCCCCACCACGTCCCTGGTAGTACCGCGCTCAACTCGTTTCTCCGCGCAGCGGCCTTGTTCGTCAAGGTTCGTGTTTCGGAGTTATAGAGTTGAGAGAGGGTTATAGCCACAAATAAGTAGCCTCCTCGTCTGTAGTGGCCTTCTCGGCCTTGAGGAGGTGAATTAAAAATAAAAATAAAAATAAAAAAATTATTTAATCATTATTAAATGATGATGAAATGATTTAATAATGATTAAATGATTTAACAGCTCACTTTGTAACTATCTGGATCTTCTACCAGATTTGTGATAGTTGAAATCATTACTAAAGAGGCTGATTGGTAGCTAATCTTAGCAACATCCAATGAGGAAAGCAGGTTTTTATCCATAATCTTTTTTTCTTTTCTTGAAGTGCCTCTTTTTAATGTTAATTTCTGTTCAAAATTTATTTCTTCTTCTGTAAATGCAGGTTAATTACTACAGGATTAATTACTACTGCTGCTGCTCACAAGATTTATTGTTTCATTTAATAAATAGGGTAATAAAGGTAATAAAAAAAATAATATAATAGGGTAATAAAAAAAAATCTAATAAAGGGTGATCTTTTCATATACTTTTTTGCTGTTTCTTTGCCATTTTGATTCAATGTTTTTCTTCATTCTTATCAACCCCAATCATTTTTCCCTTTCAATCTTCCCTTTTTAACTTTCATAGATCATCCTAGTCATATTTTAAAAATCCGGAAAATTTTTTGTATAAATTATCCAGAAAAAATCCGGCATTTATTTTACCTTATTTTCTTTTTGATTTCGGTTTTAGCTAAGTTGTTTCTAATCTTTTTTTTAACATTTTCATAATTTTTTTAAGAGTGATGAGTGAAAAAGCTTAAAAATCAAATATATACCTCAACTTGCATGTATTGAAATTGTTTTGGATATCTGGAAAAACTAAAAGTTGAAAAAAATATCCGGAATTTTGGAAATATCGGGAAAAAGAACTTTACAAAGATAAAAATCTCAATCTTCCTCAATAATTGTCAACTCATTTGCATTGTCACTGCATTTGCATGAGCTATATCAAAGAGTGTATCCAATTTTTCTTTCCATGTATTCTCTTTCTCTAAGGAGAATACATGGAAATTTTTAATTTTTAATTTTTTTTCCTTTGCTTTTCTTTAAGAGTTTCCATTCAATATACAGTTTATTAATTTCTTCACAACATCGCATTCAAGGGAGGTTGGTATTCCTGCTCTCTTTCATACCTCAAATACATTGTTAAAAGTAAAAGTTAATTTTCTTCTAGGTCAGTTTCTTTGCAGACATTTTTATAATACATCATTTGAAAGATTATTTTTTCTTTTCAATTGTAGACAGATTAAATTCAATTTAACTATTTGTTGAACCATCAGAAAATAATATGTTGTACATCTTGATTCCGTTTTCAATCAAAATAATTAAAAAGCAAGTAATAACTAATAATACAAGCAGAAAAATACAAACTCATAAAACATAATTTTACACAAATTTTTAAAATAGTACTTATTTTCAATGTAAGGGCCTAAGGGGTTGACCCAATGTAAGGGCCTAAGGGCCTTACACTTCTACAAACCTGTGGGCCTATTTATGTAATTATGTAAAAACAAACTCATAAAACATAAATTTACTAAACTTTAAAAAAAACTTTGAATTGGCCAGTGCACCCCCTAACTATTATTATTTTGACCTAAAAATTTGCACAGTGTTTTTATAAGTTAAAACAAATGAAAGGGTCAATCTAAGATCAAATCTGAGAGACATCTTTTTGGCATCACCCTAATACATATTTATATATATATATATATATATATATATATATATATATATATATATATATATATATATATATATATATATATATATATATATTATATATATATATATATATACACACACACACATATTGCATATAATAAACAAATAAGGGGGTCTCTTAATCTAAGATCAAATCTGAGAGTCATGTTTTTTAAATCACCCTAATACATACATATATACATACATACATACATATATATTTATAAATATATATATATATATATATATATATATATATATATATATATTTGTTTTCAACTTCAATAGTATATTTTAAAGAGGGATGTTGTCTGTTAAGGATTGTTTGGAACTGTTCAGCTTCTTGTTCTGCTTTAAGTTAGAAAACCTAGAGTGGCTATCTTCTACATATCTATGAAAGGATTTAATATCAATTAAAGTAACCATTGTCATTGCCATTTTTATTGCCTTTTACTGGTGGTATTGTAAAAAAGATTCAGCTAAAACAACTATAAAAGGCAATCCAATTGAGCCTGAATTCTTTAACTCATGAATCTCACGGTTCCGCAGGAAATAAAAATGAAACAAAGTTCTATTAGTTGTTCTATCTCAGTTAAATTAAGATTAGTTGAGTTTTTGTAAGAAATACTTTCACTTAATCTAAAAGTATTAAAGTTGTTTCATTTAATTGTATTAATGGGTATAAGTTCACAATATCAACACAGGATCACTCGGATATGTTTTCATATTCATCTTTAGCAAAATATATAATTATAAACATTCTTATATGTATATATATATATATATATATATATATATATATATATATATATATATATATATATACATATATATATATATATATATATATATATATATATATATATATATATATATATATATATATATATATATATATATATATATATATAAGACCAATATACATTCAACTACAAATGACAATAAACGCAAAAGAACTCACAATATCTTCTGCTGAGCAAAATCCTATTAATGTTTGAATTCCAGCATAAATGCTTTGATGCCTGTTGTAATTAAAATAAAAAATTTTTATCTTATGCTTTTAGAACATTTAATACAATATTTTTTATACAAAATTTCATTATAACATGTCATGGGCATTAAACCTAATAAAAATGCCTTTAAATTACTTAAGTTTATATACCAAAGTTATAAAGTTTATATATATATAGATCGTTTGCACATTACACAAAATGCGCAATTGTAATACTGCTTATTTCATGAACTGTGCGTTTTACTTTTTTTTAAAACCTTTATTAGTAGACTGGAATAATATGATAGATGTTTTTTTGGTTTAGGCTCTGGTTTAGCCTAAAGAAATAACATTATTTATTTTCTTAATTCAAATCTTTCTGATACAGGAATAATTGCAGCAAAGTTCTTGTTTTGAAATTTTGCCCACCCTGAAACGATGGGAAATATGTTTAAAAATCTTGGGCAAACTATTATTCAATTTCTTCAAAAGCATCTTTGTTTGTCAAGTCACATTTTTTAATAAGTTTTTTTGCAGAATCTAAAAAATTTTAATCATAAATGCTGTTTTAAGGTTTGTGGCTTAATCATTTTTTTTTGAAGGTCTTTGCATCTACCTGATTACCCCCCCTCCTCCATAAATTTTTCAAGCAAACCTTTAACTTTGATTGCTTTTTTACAAAATTTATTTAAGTTGAAAAAACATCATTTTTTAGTCATACCATACTTGGCCCTTTCACAGACAATGACTTTTAAAGTATTTACTTTCTCAGACAATGGCTTTTAAAATAGTTATTTTTTCATTTTTTGTGTGTTATTGATTGTTTTCATCACTGATTATGTTCTAATGTTGAAAGATTGTCATTAAAGAAGAAGCGAAAATTATTGCTACCTTATGTTATTTATTGCTACCTTATGTATAATTGCTACTTAAAGTCAATTATGCACAAAAAATAAATATGAATCAAATACGAATTTAATGAGTTCTGAAAAAGATATTTTCCTTAAAATGTTAGACAATCATAATACTAAGATTTGCAATGAGAATTTGAAGAAAATCAATTGCTCGCAAGCAATACGAAAGAAATAAGCTGATTAAAGAAAATAAAATTGACGATTTCCTAACCTAGAGTTAAATTTGAGAATTTTTTTTTGTGCCTAATAATTACTAATTATTCCATCAATTATAAAATTGATGATTTCCTAACCTAGAGTCAAATTTGAGAATTTTTTTTGTGCTTAATAATTAATAATTATTCTGATGAAAGGAGCCTTTCCAATCTAAAATCAATTAAGAGCTATCTAAGATCAACAATGACACTTTTAAACTAATAACCTAGAGGTTATTAGCTATAGATAGCTAATGAGTTTTAAAAACAAAATTGTAAATATAAAAATGGTATGATAAAACTTTTTAATTAAAATATTAACTTAAATATTTTAACCAACAAATTTTTAAAGAAAATAAAAACAAAAAGTTATTTTAAAAAATACTGAATTTTCTGATTCCCTTTGATATAGGATTTCAAAAAATAAAAAAAAATTCTAAAGGATAACCATTCTATGGTTGATACCATAGGTGGAAAAAATTTAATTTGAATACATAAAGTGGGGGCAAGGCTACAAATATATTTTTTACAAATTCTCCAAGTTTTTTTGGGCCTCTCTTAAATCTGCTTATAAATTTTTTTTGCATGTATTTACAGCAATGCAAAGAAACCGAACAATTTTAGGTTGAAAAAAATTTACCATCAGAAATATTTCTATTAGGTTGTATTTATTGAGGGGGGCAATAAATACAATTAATTGAAATAATTTGTACTCTTGGTTATGCTAGATAGTTGATACAAAAGTATATAATGGCTTAATAGTGACAGGTGACTTAAACTTTCCAGACATTACTAGGCAATTTGACTGAAATATCTGATAACAAAAATAGTCTTGATAACAAAAAAAAAAATAGCTCTCTGAAACAAACCAAAAAGACACTTTGCATATATTATTAATGGATAGTGAGCAATCAAATATCGGCATTAACAGTAGATTCAAATGAGCAGCGATGGAGTAACAAAAGTAAACATTCTTAACAATAAATTTAAATTAGTTTTTACAACCTTTGATTTAGCCACTAAAACCATTCAAATCAATGATTTTAGTTTCATATATAAAAAACGATCAAAATATTGTTCTGAAACACCTAAAAAACGCTTGATAGAAATAACTTCCTTCTTCTGCAAGGTTCTATTTTAGGGCTGACACTTTTTTTTATATTTCTTTATGACCTGTTGATTTATGTCAAATCAGCCATTTTCAAAATGTACACAGATGACACAAAGCTCGTGAAAGTTGTCAAAAACAATATAGAGAGGGTAATTTTACAATTTAATCTAGACGTTATTGTTAAATGGACGCAAAACCTGGCTAATGGAGCTAAATGTAAAAAAATGTGAAGTCATACATGTTAACTCTAGAACAATAAAATTTAATTAATAAAATCAAAGACAATGGTGCAGCCAACAGAGTTTTAGAAGTAACAAATTCCGAAAAAGAAAGCAAATAACTCAAAATTCTTAAACAAAATTGTTTGTATAAAACATTTGGAAAAAACTTCATACTGAATATATTAGACCTTCAAGAACCTTATGTTGTAGGTGATGTAAAAAAATTTAAAAGGAACAACACTATCTCAAGAAAGTTCCTTAGGCTTTAAGAAAAAAAAATTTCAAATCTCAATTCAAAATAATGAATTTAACAACTCTTGAAAAGAAACAGAAAAAAAAGTGATCTTGTACAACAATTTAAGCTTCTTATCAATTTAAACTTAATTGACTGAACATGAACATCGAACTAGAGTTAGTCGCGAGATAGTCAGGAACTGCGAAGTCAGACAAACTTTTCAACAATGATGTAGCCAATGACTGGAATGCTTTCAATGTTATAAAGGTAACATCAATTGACAAATTTAAACAACAACTGGACAAATTTCAATCATTATAGTTACAACAGCTCATCGTCATAAATACTTAAAAGTGGCTGACATACAAGTTGGATATAGAAGTTAGATAAACGCTAATACCTTAAACTTGAAGCAAAGATCATAATAATACAATTTAACTCTGATAAAAAATATATGATTTAGTTTAAAACTAATTAAATTAAAATAAATAATTTTAAAGAATATATATATAAGTTTATTAAAGTTAAAGTTAATGCTTGGGTTTAACTAACTGTCAAATTTAATTTAAAATATTACTAAGTATTATTCAAAATTTAAACTTTGAATAATACTTAGTAATCCATCCTAAAAAATTTTTTTTTACTCATAATTAAATTTTAAATAAATGGCTGCATCAAAAGTTTGCGGAAAACGTAAGTTTAACTTTTTTTAATAACGCAAGTTAAATCGCAGCAATTATTTTTTAATAAATAATATATACAGCGATATAAATGATGTTTGAAAAAATAATCTTTGTTTTCACAACAAAATTGTTGATAAAATAATAATATTTCAAAATAATAATACTTTAATAAATAAAGTGAATAAATTAAAGTAGTTTTTTTTTGTTACTTGCTAATTTTTTTTAAATAAAAAAGCATATGTAGTTGCAAAGCCGCAATTAGAAATTTATAAAAATAATCATTTAAAAATTCAAAAATTTAACATATTTATTTATGCAAATGTCAAGAAAAGAAATAAATTTATTAATATCAAACATTTTTAAAAATGAAATATTAAATTAAATTATTTATTATCAATATTAAATTTAATTATTTAATATTAAAAAAAAAATAATAATAAACATTCCCCTATAGTGCAAAAAGGCTTGAGTGCAAAAGCGCTAATCAAACAGACTTATGTTTACGTTTTTTTTTTTGATTTATCAAAAATAACTTTAAATAAGAAAAGTTTGATGAAAATTTTCTAACAAAACCAAGATGTATTTTTAGCTCATTTGAAATTTAAAATTGACTAGGGCTTTTTTTTTAAAATAATTGCGCATGAGTGCCCTACAACCCAAATGATACTTTTTTTAAAAATATATTTATTTTAAAAAATAACATGTATATATAATAGTAAAAATAACAATACTTTTTTTTTAAAATAACATGTGAAGAGAATGCTGTTATAGAAAAGAGGCTGTTATAGAAAAGAGCTCAGATCAAAAATTGGCTGGTTGTTCTAAGCAATCAATAAGTAAAGACTTTTTGTCAAGACTAGAGTATAAAGTTGAGTCGTCAGCAAATAGAGCAACTTTAAAAATAATACAGGAGCAAAGTAACCCTTAAAGTTACTTTGGTGAGAGTTGACTTAAAAGATAAAGAGACTTAAAGATAAGGAATAAAGGCTTCCAAAATGTACATTTATGCATACATAATATGGGCTTAAACATGTATGTTTACTACTTATTTAGATGTTGGCATACAATATTCTTACATATTTACATAAACTTTATTATTTATATGGTGTAGTATTTGCTGAAAGAGAAAGTGATCGGATGGATGTGTGGTGTGATTCCAACAAGACAAGAAAAGGCATAACCTTAGACAGATTAGAAAAAAATGTTATACCAAATAATGTTTGTTAATGAAGATTAAAATGATTTAGTTATTAGCATGTAGAGAGGTAGCAGCTAAAAGAGAAAACGGTATTGGTAGAAGTAAGAAAACTTGATTTACATATTATATGAATGGGCTTTATTTAAGGAAAGAAAATGCTCTAGATTGTTTATATCAGAGAAACAGCACAAAAAAAGTAGGCTTAAGCCTGATGATGATGATAATGATGATGATGATGATGATGATGATGATGATGATGATGATGATGATGATGATGATGATGATGGTGATAATGATGATTATGATGATCATGTTGATCATAATGATGTTTATGTATGCATATATATATACAAAATATAACATGAAGTTTGAATAAAAAAAAATACTTTAGAATGTTTATGCAAATGTTTATGCAGCTGTAGTCACAAACCTAGCCCCAGCCCTGGTTATATTTTTATCGAATTCAATATGGTCAAATTTTGACCCCGGTCACTTAATTCTCTTATCTGGTGTAAAAAAGCAAAAAATATTTTGAAAAAATTTTTGTATAAAGAGGTACAAAAATAATTTTTTTTATAGAAGCTTTAAGGTTTTATACCTTGATTCTTTACCTTCGATTACCACCACTTTGTTGTATTTTCTCTCCAAGAACAGCTACCAGAAAAAAAAAATGAAAAGGTTTCATATTTATTATCAGATTTTTGACAAAATTTTTTGTAATAACTATTAATAATATGTTCTAAAAATGTTGGTCTATTTAAAAAGTGTATTATATTGGGAAATGTAGAAAAATATTCTTAAACCAGTAATGTATAAAGATAAAAAACTACATTGTATGGAAAAAAAAAAACTACGTATGTTTCATTTAAAGGAAAAAAGCAAATTTAATGTAAATTTAAACACTCTCTTTGATTCTTTGATTTTGAACTGCTAGCATTTTTTGATATATATATATATATATATATATATATATATATATATATATATATATTTATATATATATATATATATATATATATATATATATATATATATATATATATATATATATATATATATATATATATATATATATATATATATATATATATATATATCGAAAATTCCATAAAAAATTCTGGTCTTTAAATTTTTAGATTCTTACGAATGGTCTAAAAAAAATGCGCAAAAATGGTTTTCAAGAAAAACAAAATTTGAAGACCAGAAACTTTTAAGGAATTTTCAATTCGCGATCACTTAATTCGCCCCTTGTATATATTTATATATATATATATATATATATATATATATATATATATATATATATATATATATATATATTTATTTATATATTTTTTTATTTATATATATATGTATATATGTATATAAATATATATATATATATATATATATATATATATATATATATATATATATATATATATATATATATGTAGTGATGCTATTTTGTGCATATGCTATCAAGAAAGTGCTATAATAGTCAGAGCTATAATATATATATTATAGCTCTGACTATTATAATCATCAGATGATTGCATGCTGTTGCAATCATCTGATGATTGCAACAGCATGAAACTTAAAGTTGTGAAAATCACGTAGTTTTATTTTCTACTATATATATATATATATATATATATATATATATATATATATATATATATATATATATATATATATATATATATATATATATATATATATATATATATATATATATATATATATATATATATATATATATAGGCCCTTTCAGAGGTTTGTAGAGGCCTGGCCCAGTTATAAATTGGAGGCACCAAGAGGACAATTTCCGCAAAAAGCAACATAAGTTGGTGCGAAGATAATATAAGTCTTGAGATAAATAAGTCTTCAGAGAGACTACATAAATTTGTAACTTTTAGAAGAAATAAACCAAAAGCAGGAAAAAATAATACATTTGCATCATTTTTATTCAAAGGAAAACAAGGTGCACAATACAAAGATTGTTTTTTAATATTCCAGCACAACTCTTTTACATGTTTCTCCAAGAAGTGTTTTGCAAGAGTTTTATTTACTAAACAATATGGAGATGCATAATGATCTTAAACAATATTTTTTGGAACTTCAAACCAAGTAACCATGTAATCTCAAGAAAAGAGTTCACTTAACTAGAATTGTTTTTGTTGATAATTCCAATATCAATAAAATTGGCCCAAATAGGGACCAGATTAACTTGCTGAGTCTTATCTGTTGCCTCTGGTTATACCAAATTTCATTTGTACTTGCAATTAAATTTTCCTGAAATGAGATATTGGGTTCACCCAGGTTTACAATATTCAAATTTTTTGCTAGTTGTTGTTCCGAAATTGGGTTTTCTGCAATTGGAACAAGCCAAACAACCTGATTTTAAATGTTATTTCTAACACTGGCACTTTAAGATTGGTTTACTGGTTCAAGTTGAACAGTATTTTGTGATTTTTTTTAAAAACGAACATATTTTCTTTGAGTTAGTGAATGCTTCTTTTTGGTTATAAGTATATCTCCACAACTACTTATTACATATAACCTCCATAACTGTTATTGCTAGATAAAAAGTGATTTGGTTGCAAAATATATCTGGAAAAGTCCTAATTTTAAATAAAATTTTCATAAAAAATTCAATGCCTAGCATTATTTACTATAAAAAAACTCTTGTGTGTAAAACTTGAGAAAAAGATTGTTGCATCATATGTAATGATATAAACAAAAAAAAATAAACATTAGGGTTTGTAATTCTGTGCTAAATTTTTAACCTTTGGATTTTGCAATTATATTTACCTATTCCTGGATTAATACCAGGATTTTTAAATACTTTTTCTTGAAAGATTTTAACATATTAAGTAAAATTTTAATAAAATTAATAATACATTCAAAATATCTTTAGAAAAAACGATTTATCAAATTACAAGGAAATTCTGAGGTACTTTAATATTGTTTATACTGAATTATTATATTATATAGAATTTGTTGTTTTTATAGATATAATATACATATGTATTATTTTGTGATTATTTTTAAAATACATTTTGAGAAAGTAGAGCACAAATTTTCAACGTTCAGACAACTTCTTATTTTTGTTGCAATAAGACCGGCTTAAAAGAAAGTTGCAAGAAAGAACACAATCAAATTCTACACTGGTAGGCTAAATAGTCATTCAAAAATTATATGCTCTTTGCAAATAATCATCACATATTTCTCTATTTTCAAACAACAGCATTTCCTTGTGAATTTTCACAAATAGTGTCTCACATTGAATTGGTATGCTGGGCAAATGTGCTTTTTTTAAAGCTTTATTAAGTTCATCTTTCATTTTTTTTACACTTTTCAAGAGCAAATGAAATAGATTCAGACAGAGAGTCAGAAGAAATAAAAACAGTTTTAAATAGTGCCTCATTTGAAATACAAAGTTCAATGTTAGATTCAGACTGTTAATAATGTTAGATAAACTGTTAATAATGTAGCTGGATTTGAAGTGTCTAGTCTTTTGAGTAACTCAACTATTAATTTGGGACATTTCATTAAAAACGGAAACTGTTATTAGCTCTATTTCAGATTCAGACTGAACATTAGATCTACCATTATGCAGATACTGAAGGATCCCACTTACATCGGTACGCCTTTGTTGCATTTAAAGAGCAAGAGATGAATTCAACTGTTTACTTATAACATTGTTAACATCTTAAAATTTTTTTAACATAAAAGTTATGGCAACATCAGCTGTAAACAAATTAGTGTCCCAACAACAAATGGCCTCAACTGTTGCTTTTACTGCGACTAGTACATTAATGATAGCAGATATAGCTTAAATCTTATTGCTAAATAAAGTCAAAAATTCACCTTCTGGTAGACCTTGACTCTCTTAAAAATCATCTTCTATATCTGATTGTTTTTCTCCATCGAATTGCTGATCTTTTTCTACATTCTGCTTTTGATATAGTACTTCAATAACAACATGTTGGGCAAAACATAACTGTTGATTTACAGGTAATATTCTTCCAACTTTTTTTTATCACACTTGCTCTATCAGTCATAATACCAATAATATCTTTTTGCAAATCAAGTCCATATTGTGCAAGCTTTTGTTCTAATAGTTCACTAATCTGCAGACATTGATCTTGTCATATGAATTAAGCCTAAGCTCCAGAACTGACAATTTCTTGCATGTAAATTAATATTCATGTAGCAACGGTTACACAGTGATGTCCATACATAAAAAGATAAAGAAAATCTTTCTCCTACACTGAATTCAGAGTTTATTTTTCAATTATTTCAGTAATTAAAAAAATTCTTTTCTTTTTGTCATAATCTACAACCATTTTATTGTTGTAAAATTATATTTCATTCAACATTATATGCCATTCACGTATATCATTAGAATGGTATATAATATTGAATGAAATCCCATCAAGGGCTGTTAATTGTGCAAGTGTTGCAGAAAGTGATTTTTCTTCTTGCTCCAATATTGGAAAATAATTGGTTGACGTTTTGGTTCAAAATGAATAAAAGACCAAAATTGCTTAAATTTGACACAAATTTTTATTTTAAATTGTTAAAAATAAAAAGGTTGTTTTTTAAGCAATGATGTTTTTGGAGTATAGAAATCTAATATTGTATAGAAATAAATACTGCAGTCAAAACATAATTTACATATTAAAAAAATAAATTTTTTAATTGCATATGTGAAACTATTTCTTCCTTTTTAAAACAAGATCAAAAAAAGTAGTCCCTTCTATAATAGATTATTTATGTAGAACTAAGTATTAAGGCAGGTCAAATTTTTTTTTTAAGAAGCAGCATATTATGTGTGTGTGTGTGTGTGTGGGGGGGGGAAGGTCAATCTTGAGGTCTGTGCTAGCCTGCCTAGGGGTTGCACAGAAAAAGAGGGTATAAGCAACTTTTATATATAATTATTTTATAATTGTTTTAATTTATTTTATTTTATATAATTGTAATGATTTAGATATACTACAAAAATGTTCTCCTAAAACACTGTTTAGGTATTTTATTAGAATAAGGGATACAAGGTGTTAAATAAGGGATATAAGCTTTAAAATGTTTTCTGTTCATATATTATAAATGTCTTATTTCCATTGTGCTTTCCAATCAAATTTAGGTATTTTTTCCCTGAAATTTAGGTATTTTTTCCCAACAGGTTTATTACAAATTTGTGACGTTTTTCATAGCCATCTCTATTTTCTAATACCTTTGTGACAATTCCATCTATTCTTTCCATATTCTGGCTATGACAAGGATACTTTGGGATATTTAATGGACTGTCATTGGCTTTCAAAATATCTTCATTTGAATAATCGTTCAGTAAAGGTGGTGAATGAACTTCCTTGATGTCCCAATTTATTAATTCAAAGTAATCTTTGGCTCCAAGATTTAATGTTGTAAGAAGTTTAAAATGTCTATTGGATTCACTAGTATTCCTGGATTTAAGTATCCTTTGAATGGCTGTAGTTCTAACATGTTTTCTTTCGTCACCGCCAATAAAATATTTTCTGGGTTAGAAGTCAAAACTTGCTCCATTACCTCCTTGTATTTTAGATCAATAACTGCATTTTTAATTAATTGAGCAAGATACCAAAATTTTGAGCACCATTGATTGCCAAATAATTTGATTTGATTTGGAACTA